CAAGGAGTGACTCAAAGATAGATTGATGTAGTAGAAAAACAAAAGGAGAAGAACATAGCTTTGAAAGTGGATCACTCGAAGACTGATCAGTTAAAACCTGAGGATGAGGATGATATTGCCTTGATGACCAGGAAATTTAGGAGTTTTCTAAAGAGGAAGCAAAAGAGAAGCCAATAGTGGAATAAAGGTAAGTTCCACAAGAATGTTAAGGTTTATAACGATCTTATTTGCAATGAATGCAAGAAACATGGACATGTCAAATCAAAATGCGTTAATCTTAAAGCTATTCCTAGAAAGGAGAAGGTGGAGAAGAAAACAAATGTGAGGAAGGGTAAGAAAAAATTTTAGTGAGCTTTTTCGGATGACTCAGCTTTAGATTCATTAAAAATAGAGAAGAAAGAAGAATTCACCAATCTGTGCTTAATGGTTGATAATCTTGATCAGTCAGATCAAGAAGAGGTATGTGACTTAAGTTATAATGAATTACTAGAAGTTTCTGACATAATTCATATGGCATATATAAAAATTAAGAAAATACATGCTAGGTTAAATGTTAAATTTGGATTTCTTAGAGTTATAAAAAAAAATATGAAATCCTTAGGAGAGATCATGCACAAATTGATAGCAACCACATGAGTTTATTGGATGAATTTAAAGATTTGAACAAATAAAATGAATTATTAAAATCATCATATACTAAATTGGAAAAAGAATTTAAAACTTCTATGGATGAATCTAAAAACTGAGAGCAGTATTTGAAATTTAATAATACTGTGTTAGAAGATACAAATTCATTTCTTAGAGTAAAGGTGAAGGCTCTTGAGGAAAATATGATCCCCCCTATACTTGATGGAGTTAATGATCCTATTTTAAAATAAAAAATCTTAAAATATAAGAAGAGACCATTTTATTATTGGAGATTAAAAAATCCTATTCTTGGAGTTAAGTGTTTTTCTTATGAAATGATTGGGCATATTTCACACACTTGTACTATTCATAACAAAACTTATTTAGTGTGGAGACCTAAGATGCATAAAATAAGTCATATCATACATGCATCTAGTTTAATTTTGCCAAGAGGAGAACCCAAACTTCTTTGGGTTCCCAAGACTAACGTTTGATTATTTTATAGAATTGCTCTAATATAAAACCTCGTGAGAGCATTTTGTATCTAGACAGAAAATGCTCGAAGAATAGGACTGGAGATACTACATAATTTATATCACTAAATCCAAGAATTGAGGCAAGGTTACACTAGGAGATGATACCATTAGGAAAGTGGTAGGTAGAGGTATGATTGGCAACTTGAATAATATTTTCATTAAAAATGTGTTACTTGTAGAAGGCTTAAAGTACAATCTCTTGAGTATTAGTCAATTATGTGATAAAATATATAGTGTTAATTTTTTTCCCACTAGCTACATATTAAATGAAAATTGAATTGATGTACTGCATGGAAATAGGGTAAATAATATTTATATGTTATATTTAAATTATATTAAATCTCTTAATAAATTTTTTATTTAAAAAAAAATTCTGATGAATCATGGTTATGGCATATGAGGCTTTGTTATTCTAGAATAAAAAACCTTAGAAAATTATCCAAAAAAAACTTGTTAGAGATATACCAAAACTAGACTTTACTAAGGATCACCTTTGTGATGCATGACAACTAGTAAAACACGTGAAGTCCTCATTTCATTCCACTAAGAATCTTAGAACTAGCAAGCCATTAGAGATTATTCATATGGATCTTTTTGGACCAATTAACACTATAAGTCTAGGAGGGAATGTATACGAATTTGTAATTGTTAATGATTTTTTGAGATTCACATAGGTTAAATTTTTATTTAATAAGAGTAAATCATTTGAGGAATTGAGAAACTTTTTGACTTGGATTTAGAGGAAACTACGATCTAAAATTTTAATAATTCAAAGTGATCACATAGGTGAATTTGATAATAAAAAATTTGAGGATTTTTTAAAGAAAATGGAATTAATCACAATTTTTATACACCCAAGACCCCTCAGTAGAATGGGGTAGTCAAAAGCAAGAACAAAACATTAATTGAAGCGACTAGAGTCATGTTAGTAGAATATTCACTTCCAAAATATTTTGGGTTGAAGCGATTAGTACAACTTGTTATGTTCTTAGTATGGTAAACTTATATTAAAATTAAATAAAATACCCTATAAGCTTTTTAAGGGGAGAACACCTAATTTGTCATATTTCTATGTTTTTGGATATAAGGTGTTCATACATAATAATGGAAAATCTCCTTTAAGAAAATTTGATCTAAAATTAGATGAAGGAATTTTTCTTGTATGCTCTAGTGTTGGAAAATCATATATAGTGTTTAACAAAAGAACTTTGGTAGTTTAGGAGACAAAACATATTGAATTTGATAAATTTAGTATTTTGGAAGAACCAAGTTTGGAAGAGGATCATATAGAAAATAAATTTCAAAGGATTGAGAAGATAAACTTGGAAGAAAATCTGGAGATAGAAAATCCTATGCCTAGAGAATTGAAATTTTCTAAAACTAACCCTAAGGAATTGATTTTAGGTGAACCTAGTGAGGGTGTTAGGATTAGGCACGAACTTAGCAAAGAGGTTAACCATTCTACCTTTATTTTTATGATTGAACTCACAAATGTTAATCAAGCACTTTTGAATGAATTTATGATTTTGGCCATACAAAAGGAGTTGAATTAATTTATAAGAAATATTGTTTGGGAATTGATTGAAAGGTTAATGGATCAAAATATAGTTAGAACTAAGTGGGTGTTTAAAAATAAAATGAATGATTCAGGAGTTATGATTAGAAATAATGCTAGATTTGTGGCTAGTATAATCAAATTGAAGGCATTGATTTTGAAGAGACGTTTGTCATTGTAGCTAGACTTGAAGCAAATAGGGTTTTATCAGTCTTTGCCTCTTTTAGAGGTTTTAAACTATTTCAAATGAATGTTAAGAGTGTCTTTTTGAATGTGGTGATATAAGAGGATATTTATGTTGAGAAATCTCTAAGTTTTAAAAAATTTAAAATTCCCTAATCATGTATATAAATGAAAAAATACATTATATGGATTGAAATAAGTATCTAGGGCTTGGTATGAGAGGTTAAGTACATTCTTATTAGAGAGATCTTTTGTAAAAGAAAGTGTGGACACCACTCTCTTTTTGAAAAAATTAGAAGATGATATACTCATTATTCAGATATATGTTGATTATTCCATTTTTAGATCTATAAATAAAAATCTTTGTGATGACTTTTTTAAAATAATGAGTAGTGAATTTGTGATGAGTTTAATGGGAGATATAAGTTAATTTTTTTATTTTAGAATTAAGCAAATTGAGGAGAGAACATTTCTTAGTTAGTGAAAGTAAATTAAGGACATCCTCAAGAAGTATGAAATGGATAATGCTAAACTAGTAACTAAACCAATGAGTTCCTCAATTCAGTTGGATAAGGACCCAAAGAGAAAATCTATTGCTAAAAAGAAATTTAGAGGTATAATTGGATCATTACTTTATTTGACTTCTAGCATAATATATATAATATTTAATATTTATTTGTGTGCTAGATTTCAATTTGATCTAAAAGAATCACATTTAACATAAATAAAAAGGATTTTAAGATATCTTTTGGGAACTCAAAACTTAAGAATCTTGTATCCTAAGTACAGCACTTCATTTTAAATTATTGGATATTTTGATTCAAACTTTGCAGGTTGTAGGGTTTATCGAAAGAGTAAATCTGGAACTTGTCAATTCATAAGAAATTTATTAGTTTTCTGGTCTAGTAGAAAACAAAATTCTGTAACCCTATATACTATTGAAGCTGAATATATTGCCTAAGAAAGTTGTATGGCACAACTTCTTTGGTTCAAATAATAATTGATTGATTTAGGATTTATAATAGGCACAATTCCAATCTATTATGATAACACTAGTGTCATTTGTATTTAAAATAATCTTATTCAATATTCTAGAATGAAACATATAGATAAAAAACATCATTTCATTAGGGATCATATAGCCAAAGGAGAAATTAAATTGAATCATGTTTCTACTGAAAATCAACTTGCAGATATTTTTACAAAACCACTAGCCTTTGATACATTTAACATCTTAAGAACAAGGTTAAGTGTGATTGATCCTAATGCTTAGATAAAATTTTCAACAAAATTGATATGTTGTTTATGTGTGTTTGATTTAATTTTTCTATTTATGTTTGTTTTAATTTTTGTTTGTGAGTGTTTTAATTTTGGTTTTTATTTTGTGAGTTTATAGTTTGGACATTTATCAGTTGTTGAAGGATGATAGATTTTGAGAACTTTTTTTGGTTTTCATGCTTTATTTTCTAAGTATTTTATTCATATTATATGAACTTTTTTCGTATTGTACGAATTTTGTAGTATGTTTATGTCTGTTTTTTTTAGTTGAACATGTTAAATTTGGATTTTTCACATATTTTATATTGTACGCTAACATCATCATACCGTAGGATATGTACAAATTTGTTTGTGCGCATGTAGATGATTATCCAGTTAGAATTATTAAATGATTTTTTATTAAAATTCAAGGGGAAGTTTTAAAATTACCAATTCACCTCCCCCGCCCCCTCTTGTTTTTTTTTTTTTTTGAAAGAAGCTTGAATGCATTAATATCTAGGAAAGCAAAAAAAGCAAAAAGAACTACAAAGATGATCCCTCCTTCACCATTTGAACAAATGAAGGAGGAATCTTATCCAAAGTAATGTCTTCCCAAATAAAATTACTAAGGAGACCGTAACTAGCACACAAATCGGTTAGCTTATTTCCCCCTCTATCAATACACTTAAAAATAACATAATTAAAATCATTAAGAAAGTCTAACTCATCTGAATTCTTAAAGCCGTGATCCTTAGCACTTTGAATCACCTTTATGACATTGTAGTTGTCGCTCTCAATAATAGCTCCCTTGTACTTGAACATCCAATCTTTGATAATATTCTTCAAAGTTTTGATAGCCATAAATTCCAATTGGTATATGTCCCAATGGATACAGGAATTCCCAAAAGCCAATAAGAATCTCCCTTTTCAATCTCTGATAATACCTCCAACTCCTGCTCTATAAGAAGAACAAAGAGAAGCATCTACATTGATTTTTAACCAACCGGGTGGAGGGGGATGCCAAGCATTCAACAGTCTAGATGACTGATTAACATCCCATGATTCCGAAATTTGATTATAAATCAAATTAGAGTACGAAGATTGGCTGATTGCTTGAACAGCAATAGAAGTAACACTCTCATTAATGTCTTCATGAACCAATTTATTTCTAGCTTTCCATGAACAATACACAACGTTGAAGAATAGATTTAGAATCATACCTTCATTCTTAATGATATTGTGTATCCACCTATAGCATCCTTGGAAGTTATTGAATTCAGGCAATCCAAAGCCCCACTTGTTCATATTAGTGATCACCTCCTTGATTTTTATGTAGCCACCAAAAATGTGTTCCATATCTTCAATCCCGAAAGAGCACCTTGGGCAAATCTCATTCTCTTGCAACCTCCTATGAGCCAGAAATTGGAACGTTGGTAATGCATTTTTGAGTAACCTCCAAATGAATGTTTGCACCCGTGGAATAACTTTTGCCTTTTTTATCCAGTAATAAGGTTCCCAATCCTCATCTTGCTGCTGAAATCCACTGATCATCCCAGGAATAGACCTCCCAGGACCTTGATAAATAAGTTCTCTGACATCTTCATCCTGGTTAGGATCAATTTTGATCTTAAGAATGAGATCTACCATATCTTTTCCAAAATTCTGCTTCAAGTTATCCTCATTCCAGATTCCATCTTCAATGAATCTATTCAGAAAAATCTCTCTATCACCTTGAGGAATTACAAACGTAGGCCACTCATTAATTCTTCTATCAAGTATCCACTTATCCTTGTATACATTGATTGAATTTCCATTAGCTACTTTCCATATGATAAAAGGATCCAACACTTTGCCTCCATTGCATAAAATTTTCCAAGAGGAAGAAAATTTCTTAATTCCGGAATTTCCAAATCTTGTGCCATACTTGGGAGCCAAAGTTCTATGTAATAAAGACTCCTTATTATTTAGGAATCTCCAAGATAGTCTAGCTCTAAGAGGAGCCACCCTTGTTGTTGAAGAAAATAATCCACAGCCTCCATTCTAAATTGGCTTACATATATTCTCCCAACTGATGTAATGCAATCCTGGATTTCAACCACATTTCTTCCAAATAAATCCTCTACAAATTTTATCTATTTCTTTAAGCACTTGAACTGGCACCAAAGAATGAGAGCTGAAATAGTTTGGAATGGCTAGGATAACTGTCTTGATAAGTATTATATTCCCTGCTAAGGATAAAGACTTTGTTCCCCAAGTATTAAGGAATCTAAGTGCTTTCTCAATGATGAAATAAAAATCACTAGCCACCATTCTTCTCAAAGCCATCTTAATGCCAAGGTAAACAAATTCCTTAACTTGTTTAAACCCCATTATCCTAGATATCTATTTCTTCTTTCTTCTACTGACATTATTTCCAAAGAGAATGGCAGATTTCTCTGTATTGATATACTGTCCTGTCCACATACTGAAATCTGAAAGAATGGCTTTAACTTTATAAACCGCCTTTCTTGATGCTTCTGAGAAGACCATAACATCATCAGCAAATAGTAAGTGTGAAATCCGAGGACTATTAGAGCATAACCCAATCCCAATCGAAGAATGTGAGAGTGCATTTGTAAGAAGTTGGGAGCATAGGATGAATAGAATGGGGGACAAACGACATCCTTGACGAAATCCGCTTTCATCCTTAATCCATCCAGATAATTTCTCATTTATAATAATAGAAAATCTGGGATTTAACACACTTTCCAATATCAGTTTTGAAATCATATATGGGAAATCAAAGTAGTTCAAAACCTGTTTTAGAGTTTTCCAGCTCATAGAGTCATATGCTTGCTCCATGTCTACTTTGTAGGCCACCATCCCGTTAGCTGCCTTGGAATACCAAAATTTATGAAACATTTCTTGGGCTATCACTATGTGATCTGAGATGGACCTTCCTCTGATAAATGCAGCTTGCTCTTCTGAGATAAGCAAAGGAATAACTGGAATGAGTCTGTTCAAGATAACCTTTGCAGCAACTTTATAAACTGAGTTACAAAGGCTTATAGGCCTATAATTGGATGGCAACAAAGGATTAGTAACCTTTGGGATGAGAACCACAAGCGTGTCTTTCCAATTACAATCCATACTTTCCTGGTTTAGGAAATGATTTAAAGCTCTCACAAAGTCTTCCTTTATAATCTTCTAGTAAAATTTGATGGAGTATGTGACACCATCACTACCCGGAGCTATGTTTTTACCCATATTTTTGATGAAAAAATCAATTTCCTCCACTGGGAATTCCTTGGACAAAAGATTTCTTTCCTCCTATTTCAAAATCTTCAAGGGAATTGGCCAATCATTCATGCTACATCTTCTCTGTTTCCACTTAGTCTTAAAAAACTTCATGAAATTTTCTTCAATTTGGCTTTGTTCTTCAAAATCCAATCCATATTCATTTTTTATTTTCAAAATTCTGTTGCCAATCCTTCTAGCACTAGCAAACGAGTGATAGAGTTTTGAGTTACAATCCCCCTCATTCATCCATTTTACTTTAGCTCTTTGTTTCCACCAACTACATAACCGAGCAATAGTAGTATTAAGTTCAATGACTTTGGATTTCATCTTCCAACAGTCTTCTTCAGAAAGCCATCCAACTTCAGCTTCAGCTGTTTGTAGTCTAAGAATTTCCTCCATTAAAATACCTTTAAGATCATTAAGGTTCTTCAGCTTTGCCTTGCTCCAAAAGAACAAGGATTTAAGAGTTCTTTTACATTTAGCATTCAAATTTTGAGGATAATTCCCACTGAAATTCTTACTCCATTCCCCCTTTACCACAGCAAATGGTGCCAGATATGAGGCCCATACATCCTAAAAAATAATACTCCTCTTATCATTGGTTTTAGAATTATAGAAATTAAGAACCAATGGAATATGATCAGATGCAATTCTAGCTAGATGTCTCACAGTTAATTGAGAGAAATAATTCAGAGCAGAAGAATTAATAAAGCACCTGTCAAGTCTTTCCAAAATCCGAGCACCTCCAGATTTGTTATTACACCATGTATACCTTGGGCCAATGAATCCAATCTCATGCAAGTCATTATTAGTAATGAAAGATCCCATTTCTCTAGCTCCTTGAGAAAACAGGAATTTTTTCCCTCCTCGTTTGTCTTCTTTGGATGTGAGACAATTAAAGTCTCCTCCTACCACCATAAGATGCTCCTCCACATAATAAAGCTCAATTAACTCCCATAGCTCCCTTCTTTTGATTAAATCTTTGCTTCCATAGACCGAAGCCACTCTCCATTTACATTTGTTGTTAATGGTCAAGTCTCCAATAAGACATTGGGTTGAAGATCCAACCATGGAAAACTCAACAATGTTTGAGTTCCAAAGAACAATAATCCCTCCAGATAAACCATTTGAAGGGACCATAGCAAAATCACATCCATCTCCCATAAGCATCTGTACTTCTCTTATATCAAAACAAGAGATTTTTATTTCTAGCAAACAAAAAAAAAAACAACATCATGCATCTTGACAATTTCCTTCATGTATTGAGAAGCACTTCTCTTCTTTGCTCCTCTACCATTCCAGAATACCAAGGAATTCATTGAAGAAGAATTGTGGGAGCTACTCCCACTTTGCCTTTCACCTCCAATTCCAATCTCCTACTCCTTGTGATATTGCTAATTGGTCCAAGGTCTTTAAGCTGCTTAGATTTCTTTTTCTTCACACGACTGGAATCATCTCCTTTCTCATTAGTAGCTGATCCATCAGCTACAATTTGCTTTTGTTCTTCCTTCTTATCAAACTGATTCCCATCGTTCATCAATCCATCCTCAACATCCTGTATGATCTCTCCTTCCTCCATTAAATCATTCAACACATTAAATCTATTTTCTATTAAAGGAATGTTAGAACCATTCCTTTCAATCTCCAGATGCACTTCTTTATTACCACCCATGTTTGCTTCCAATGTTTCTTCTTCAGGAATAATCTTATCAGCCAAGAGAACTTTATCGGTATTCTGAGCAGAAGCTTCTATATCATTCCCCTTTTCTTCCTTCTTATTATCTACTGTTCTTCTCCAAATTGTCTTCTTAACTGGCACATGAGTAGATCCTTTGAATTTGTTCGGTACATTCTTCCTTCCACGGTTAACTATCAACCATGGTCCATAGCTTCATGAATTGATCTGCTCCACCCCATCTTCTCTTGTATTTCCATTCCTTGCCTTATTTGGAACATTATTCACATCCTCCTTACAATTGAATTATGAAGAACTAACTCCTTCTCCACAACCTTCTTTAGTATGCCCAATGAATCCACAATTGAAACTAAATTTGGGGATACGCTCATATTCTATCTTTTGATAGAATCTCCCGTTCACTCCTTCCACCCACACTCCTATAGGTAGCTTTCTATCAAGTTTAATTCGGATGCACACCCTTCCAAATTCTCTTCTTCCCCATTGGAACATGTTCCCATCAAGAAGAATTGGTTTTCCAACCATCGAAGCTATTATGCAAACATTTAAGTTGTCCTAGCAATGCAAAGGAAGGCATGGAAGCCTGATCCAAATTGGTGATGTCAATCCTCTAAGAGAGTTGGGATCAAAGTTTTGGGACCACTTGTCCATACCAACAATCTTCCCATTCACAAACCAAGGTACATTAGATAGGACCAACCCCATGCTCTGTTTCTCCTGGAATGAACACAAAACCCAGCCCATACTAAGCATGGTAAGATGAAATTTACCATATTGATCCCACTGTCTCCTCAGTTCCTTGCTAATAATTGAAATTGGAGCTTCCCCTCCAAATATTTTAATAACCAATGAGTTAGCAAGTCTCTTAACATTTTCTTCCTCATTCTTCTCATGCAATTTCACAGTCATTCCATCTTTAGACAAGAAGTCGCCGAGTTGCAGATCTTCAACTGGGATGTTTTCTCTTCTCTTCCATACATTAGATTGTCCAGCATCAGTAATACGTTCAGTAATTTGAATATCTTCAATTCCTCCTCCCGTTTCTACTGAGTCCACTTCTCTTACCTTCAGTAAGTCACATAACAGAACTCTGTTTTCCTTCTCAGGATTGTTGTTTCATTACCTTCAGAGCTGATGATACCTTCTTTGCCAATAGAAATTGCCTTGTCCACTTTATTCAGAACTGAATTTCCATTATCCAAGACTAACTTCTCAATAGGAAGTAATTTGGACGGGGAAGCTTCACATCCATCGCCAAACATTGTAGCAGATGCAGATTTACTCTTCTTGAAATCATTCACCAGAATCACATTCTTTACTTTGCTAATTACCTCAGGTTCCTTCTTCTCCTTATAACCTCCTTCATTGATGACCAAACTTTTGCCTCTACTTTTTCATATGTTGTTTAAGTTTGAATTTTTGTCCCCGATAACAAGAGGAGAAGACGGATAGGATCTAGCATAACAAAGTCCTTGTAGAAGGTCGACGATCATCTTGTTTACCTCAAGCCATTGGAAGACGGCGAACATCCGCCTCCATTTATTTTCTGTAATTCCCGCGGAGAACGAAATTTGAAAAAATCCGTTCAAAAATTTTAATTAATAATAATGTATCTAACATATATTAACTTTACACCTACAGTATGTCGATGGTTATCAGAGGGTCCATAGTTCAAGTACTAGGGTCAATGAAATTGTTGTCGATCAATAGAGGTTAGTGGGATCATAGTTAGGTAATAGGTATTAGTGAGACGTAGTCAAACAATGATGATTGGTAGGATCATTGTTAGTTGATTATGGTTGGAGGAACCGTAGTTGGGAAATAGTGGTCGAAAGGAAATAGTCGAGTGATGGAAGCCAGAGGAATTGTCATCACGTAATGATGGTTGAAGGGACCATAGTTAGGCAACAGAGGATGGAGGGACTGGAGTCGCAATAGAGGTTGGTAGAACAATAGTTAGGCAACAAAGGCCAAAGTTACTGCAGTCAAGTGACGGAGGCCAAAGGGAACACAGTAAAGTGATGGAGGTTAAATGACTAGAATCAAGCAACAAAGGTTGGTTGGATTATAGTCAAGTTATGGAGATCTAATTGATTGCAGTCGGGCAACAATTATAGAGGGGCCATAGTTCACTAGCATTTGAATGAGTAGTTATAGTCGGGTGACAGTAGTCAAAAGGATCGTAATTGACGAGCGATAGATGACAAACTAATAGTGTTATTCAAGAGGTTGTAGTTGGAAGACATCAAAAGGTCCAACAATGACTATCATCCATTGAGAGACTAAAGGAGAAAATTGAAAAGAAAATTTTGATGGTGTCGACGGTGTAAAGGCTTGGAGATGAGTGTAAGGCAGAGATATTTTGATAGCGATCGACCGATGAAAGCTAGATGAT